GCGGCAAGTGAAACATAAGCATCCACTATCCTTGCTACAATTTTAACATCATACAAAGTCTCACTTTCTCCATAATTTTTAACCAAGAGGTCTACTGGTTGACAGTTCTCCAAGGTTGAGGCGATCCTTTTCTCCAGATTAGACAATAAACTGGCATCGATTTTCATCATCAAACCAAGCTTCAAAAGATGAAGCATGAAATTGCTAGGTACTGAGTTTTCCTCAACAGGTATTATCCGAATTAAGCTCTCAACAATCACCCTTCTTACTTGATGGTTTATGCTTTTGTGGGTTGGTATCCGAACCCCAAATGAGATTCGCGATAGCCATTTAGCAGTCCAGTAGGCTATGCAGGACCCCAAAACCTCGGGTTTAACTCCTTTCTTCCTAATGAAAGTCACCACTTCAATGAAATGATCAATTCTAAGCGATGAAACATCTTCAAACCACCAATTCTCTGCTATTTTTTTCTCATATGAAAAATCAGTGTGATTTTCCACCCAAAAATTGAAGCATTGTGATTCATCATTGCCTAGAGAGATTGCAGTTGGATTTGTACAAACTTTCCAAGCAATCGCCTCAGAGCACCTTCTCTGGATCTGCAAATCTCTGGCATATGAAGAAATTGTTTCACAGGTTTTCAGAACTTGGAATGTGTCTTTCCAGGAAGAAAATATTATGAAGCTTAAGAAAGTTTCGGTCCTGGAAACGAGGTTACCAATCTCTAGATCATCAACCATTTCCAAGAAAGTTGCAGCACAGTATAATGGTGCAGCATTATTAGCTGTTAGCTCTACCTTCCAACCATAACAGAACTTCACTATCAGCTCAAATACCTCTGCTCCACCAGGAAGGTTATTCAGTTCGACATGTAAGTTGTTAATGCTCATGCCAGCATTTTTCTTCTCGAACACAATTCTATTCAGATAGGCACTTCTTGAGATCATAGGAAGCTAAAAGTGAACAAGAATAAAGAAGTAACATGTTAGCTTAGGACGGCAAAGAGCAAGAAGCAATGCAGCCATACTTCTCAAGAATTTAGCAGGATAAGAAAGTAGCTTAGATAACTAGATTGAACTGTAAAAGGATTGAACTACAAAACTCCACACGTAAACACATCCGTATCACAACCCAGAAGTCCTGAAAAATCTTCTATGTTTCCCCAAATGCATCCTCCATAAGTTCCCAAATAACTTAAAACACCCTCATGAATCATGATATGCAAAATAGATGTCCCTGATTTAAGCTTAAGATGTTCAGTTCTGATTTTGTTCATTCATATCCAAGTTTATAAGACGGACCTTAGCAATTTCATAAAATCTTGAATCTTCAAGGACTACACAAAACATTTTTATTTTATTACAGTATAAAAACATTCTACAGAACTTTTTTATAACTACATCCTTGAAATTAACAATGAAAATCCCCAAAATCCTAATAAAAAAAAACTTCTCATTGTTTCACATTAGTAATCTGTACTTAATATATACGAATATACGATGTATGAAATTTACTGAGAGCTATATTACATATAGTCAGTAAATTAAATGAAATATGACTTCATGAGAATATATTGTGTAAGATTTTCATTTAAAGGCAGGATTTAGAAAATAAAGAAGAGGGAAACTTGTATACAATATGCAGGTGGAATTTTCTCTTCTTTCCAATTTGTACAACCAGATCGCTTGGAACTTTTGTCCGAACAAACCTGCAGCCAGAAGGTTCTCAGCACAACTAGATAACCTAAAAATTAACAATACGAAGATATGGAGAACTGAAAAGAGAGAGTTAGGAGGCAAAATTATACCAATTAGTGTCTTTTCTTTCTATAGCTTCTGCAACCATATTAACTGTGGATGGAACAATTATACAGCGGTTATGCTTATCTGCGGATACATAACTTCGCCTCCCTAGCATAGCGGCTTTCTCTTGCACGACTGGAAGAGATTTCTTCTTCATTGCAAATTTGTGAATTGCAAGCTATGTTCCAAACTCCAATATCTTCAGTGATTTGAGGAGAAATAACTTCTAGTCTTGTACACTGTTTCTAGTCTTGTACACTGTATATATATGTGAATCAATGGCCAAGAATTCTGCACAGAGCAGAACAGACTGAGATATGTGTAATAAATGATTTACTTACTGCAGTTGGGGACCAAGAGAATGTCATTTGGGCTAGCATTATGGTGTTTTCGCATTAAACATCTCCCAAAATGTGATATTAACATCTGCATGACTTTTTAGTAGAATTGATCCAAATGCAAGATATGTGGCTAGATTTATATGAGTATAATCTTATACCATATGCTTGTGGATGTGCAGTGGTTCTGTGTAATGAATACTCTGAAAGAAATGGAAAACGATTTAGACAAAATAAATGACAAAGCATAAATGAATGGACAGTATATTAAGAAAAGATATTATACTATGTACAGTTCTGGGATCAAATCGTCGATGGCAAGGTTGATGATAGGAACAGATAACCAGCAGCTATAATGGCACAACTACTAAATTGACATAAGCAAAGAAAGATTAGTCAAGTTTTAATGCTTTGCACCCAAGATCCTCCTATAAGAAACAAGAGCTCTGGTGCTTTGCTATGAAAAGTGTGTCAACTTCATGGTAATTTTGTAGTATTAACAATATATTTAACGTCAGAGGAATTCCCTGAATTAACCTCTATATGTTGCTGAACTAGACCTCTGACACAAGGAACAATTGAAGTTTACACAGTAGAAAAGTTCAGAAATTACATACTTCGTGTGAAATGTCTGAATTTTGATGTTGGGGTAGTATCCTCTATACCAATGTTTCAACAAAGAAGGTTAGAGAACCATGGTGATTGAGTACGAACCACAAGTACTGTCAATATCTGCATCTTTTGTTAACATAATAAGCAATCAGTCCCAAGACTCCCAACTGCAATATTACATTGCTGTAGGAGGAGTTAGCGCATTTAGGCCAGATTGAGTCGTGAATGTATATTAACACAATCTGCAGTAGACGAACCAAGACGAAAATGAGATCAAGCTAGGATGTGATTTGACCCTTTGACATACCTGCAGGACTTGCAGCTGAAATCATTCAAGTGGAATTACGTTCATAACTTGTGAATCTCAAGAGAGTTATCCTAGCTCTAAGTAAGATACATAAAGCTATAAATGATGTAGCTTACTTTTAGCCGTTTGAGGGACTCAATTATGAGATCCATCATAATCGACTTTTTATGTCGAGCATTTAAGCCTGTTTTTGTTTACAATAAAATTGCAAAGGAGTATTAGACAAAAGCATCATGCTAAACCATTAAAGAACATCTAACATCTTGACAATATGTCCCAAGAAAATGTGATAAATTAGAGTTCGAACAAAACAAAACAACATTTGTCTATGATTATAGGACCAAGGATATAGATGTCCCTTGGTTTTTATTTTTCTGTTTTTCCTTTCGTTGTACCACTTTTGGTCCGTATTTTGCTATTTCAAATTATACGTTATAGTTTGCTTCAAAAATAAATAAATAAAATATTATAAGTTGTAGTTAACAAATTTCTTAATCTTAATGACAATTTTGGACTAGAAAATGTTATTTTTATAGTTTTATATTAGTAAGCCAAGTCTAGAGAAACCTTTTTTTTTTTTTACTACTTACAAAATCATCTCCTTTAAGAAAAACTCCCTGTATTAATTTTTAATTTTTTTAAAAATTTCTGCTTTTGAATTCAGACCGAGCCTTTTAGTTCTCTCATTTGAAACGGTTACTTTCCCCTTTTAATCGCCTTCAAAATTCTCTCAATTTTCTCAACACAAAGAAAGAAAGACACTGATCTCCCCTGTAAAAATCAAACACAGAAATGCAACAAATCGCTCAACCCATCTTCATTAAACCCTCGATTTCTCTATTAATTTCACAAACCCACAAATTCAAATCCAAAACCCACTTCCAAAACCCCATAATTTCTGCAAAATGGGGCAAAAAACGATCTGGGTCTCAAAGATCTCACAAACTCATCATCAATTCAATCGCTTACATTGCTTCCACCTTCAAGATTCTACCTGAACCATTGGATTCAATAGTCAGAGAATTCTGTGTTTTGGGTGGTGGAAATGGCGGGAAAATCGGGTTCAAGACCGGCTTCGGCGGAAGCGGTGGAGGAGGAAGAAATCGAAAAAGGGATAAATTAGGGTTTTGGTTGCTATTATTAATTTCATCAAGTTTGGCATTGTGGGTTGTTTTGGAGAGAGAAAATGATAGTGAATTGGTTTTCTGGGTTTTCATGGTTTTAGTTTCTGCATTTGCAGTTTACTGCTTGGTGAAAGGATGGAGGAGAGAGACTAAGAACTGGGTGTTAGGATTTTCTTGTGGAGCTGCATTAATGGGTTTTGGATTAAGAAATAATGAAAATTTTGTGAGATTGGTTGATGAATTTAGGGTTAATTCTTTGAATTTCTCTATCTTAAAAAAGAAGAGAAGAAAAGGTAGAAGATGGGTATGAACTATGAAGAACAATAGAGAAAATGTACTGTAATCTTCTGTTGTTTACAGTTTACCCTGTTTTTTTTACTACTTGTTTTAGGCTTAGGGTTGCAATTTTTGCTTTAGCGCAACCCGAATAGTTGTAATCGAGACCTGTTAATGAGAAAAAATGATTTTATAGCAAAGTGTTTGATTGCCTGCTATATTGTTCATTCTTTTAAGTTTGCAAGCAGTTCAATGTTACCAACATTCACAACTATCACAAAGTAGCACTAGCACGAGAAATGTGCTGGCTGGAAAACAAAGATGGTATAGTGAGTGCAAGAATTGTAGACTCTTGATGTAAAACTGAAAAGAGGATACCTTGAGTGTTAAAAGAAGCTGTTCCGAGAGGGATAATTCTTTTTCTGCCAGCAGAATTTGATAATCACCATAAGAATCTACCACCTGCAATATAGAGTTTTGGATTCGAAGCAGATAGAATGACATTGTCTATAATGCAAACCAATGAAACAGAGTAATGATTAGGAAAAACTCCGAAAATTATATAACCAATCCCAATTCTTTAATAATTCTAAGTTTTCACTTGAACTGTTACAACATTCAAGTACAAAAGCCACAACAAAATGAAGGTCTGCTTGAGAACTGCAAGCAAGCTTGAAACGCATAATGGACTGCATCTCCTGCTTGCCAGTAGTACCGGTAGCAAAAACCCAAAACAATGTTGCTTGTACATAGCAAATTTCGATAGAATGGATCAATCAAACCTCCCTTTGTTAAGCTGTCTATTGGGATGGGCCCATCTGTTGCTCTAAGAAGACTCTAATGCAAACTTCTGGTATGATTTAAATAAATGAATAGGCAGTCATGCCTATCTATTTGTTCTATGATATGATTTGACAACTAAAGAATGTACATAGAATTCAGCAAACACATCAAGCTGATGGTTTCTTCTTTTTCACTATGCCCTCAAAAACACCATCAATTCCATAATGGCCGGATAGATGTACCGAAGCAACAGGTCCTGGCAGATTAAATGAGACGGTAAAGTGACCTGGTGGGCACAGGTTCTGAGATTGCATCTCAAATTTCAAGGAATTCTTGTAGACAGTCTTCTCTCCAGTTGTAGTAACACCCTTGATAGTTACATGCCCAGTAGGATCCATAGTACATGAGAAATCATCTGCAAACAAGACAACTAATCAGAATCCGGCATTTTCTAACAATAGCAAGGGTGATAGATAAGCAGGTCAAGGGCATCAAGGTCACCATGAATAGAATTTCTGTGAATGTCGGTGTTTTTGCTTTTCAAGCAAAAGAATATTGTTTAAACAACAAATTCTTGAGTCCAAGCAGTGTGATGATCATGTTCTAGGCCTTCTATCTAAGCTAGTTTATATAGTAAGTCCAAGTCTAAGAATTCTACTCCAAGCCAAAATAATGCTCATATGGGTGTATAGATTATTCTTCACAAGACAAAACATGGAAATTAAGCTGGAGTTAAGAAGCAAAATCATGGAAGTTTGTAAATTCATGTATAAATCTATTTCCTAGGCACTTCAATATGTATAATACTCCGTATAGAATAAGTTGCCATTTGGTTGGAAGCAAATAATTACATTTCAAGAAAATTTCAATTTCCATACAATTGCATTTCGTGAGAAGTGCTTAAAATTGTTTGGTTCATTAAAAGGAAATCAATCGCCTATTAAGCGAGGTAGGTCAGCCACTTTCCCCATCTTGTGGGAACTGAGAAATTCCATAAGAGCAGCTTCTTACATGGTTACATATAACTTCCCATGTACAATTTCTGGCTTTTCCCACATCAACCAAATAACTGCTACAACGACAACTACTGCTCAAAAGGTCTGGATGCATTTGATACCATTCATCTTGAGAAAAGGAACTGAAGGCTAATATCAAGTTAATCAATTTTCAAGAGAGGTGTTACAGTGGGATGCAGACTTAAGCAAATATAATACTCATATGGGATATGTAAAATGATGCACTTTGACCAAAATGGAATATTTTGTGAGAGCTCAGATCTCAGTTTACACTTTTTAAATCAGCCAAAGTCCCAATCCAGAAACTATTCGGTTTGTAACCAGTTCTTTTTTTTTTTTTTTTTTTTTTGGGAAATTGTGCATATCTACCTGCCTTAATGCTGTCAATGTCTGGAAACTGACAGGGTTAACTTTGTACGTATAGATTAATGAACCTAGATATAAAAACAGAAAATTTCCAAAGTACTTCAGTATACTTACAGGGGAGATAAATAATCTAACAATAACCATAATTTCTGTATATGCAAGGAGCAATAAATAGCCAAATTTTATCAATGCATAGCCAACATCAAGACTAAAACATTATTCCAGTATGTGCAAGGAGCCAGAAAATAAGATAATGATGAATCTAAAAAATCATGACTAAATTTGCCAAATTCTGTTTAGAAAGTTAAAATAAAATAAATTAAAATAAAATCTGTTCAGAGATCTCAAAATATGATCAAAACCAAACACATTGTTCCAGTATATGCAAGGAGCCAGAAAATACGATATTCATAATAATGAATCTTTAAACAATGTCTAAATTTGAGAGAATCTCCAAAAAGACAAATAAGATTAACAAATAGAAAGTGAAGTAAATTTTGCAAACTTGAGAAAGGCAGCATAATTTTACCTTTTGCAACACCTGGAAGGGACACTCGAAAGAGGTAAGAATCCTCACTTTCACTAATATCCAACTTCCCAAGAACCGGCCCAATTGGTCCAAGTGCTGCACTGCCACCCAAACCAATTCCGCCCTTTGTAGCAGATAAGATAGGACCCCATTCTTCCTCAGTAGGTTCAGAAGGCAAATATACCAAAGCTGGTTTGGCCTTATCTACAGGACCTAATGGGATATCACTACCTTGTGGTGGAATGGGATCAATGTAGGGCATGCTGTTAAGAGGAGTTACATTCAGAGCTGGCTGCAGAGGAGCCCTATAATGAACAAAAAAAAGAAGATAATTATACAGTATATTAAATTGAAAGAATAAAAAATAAAGGGACATGGGTGAGTTTAAACAGATAAATAACCCCCACAGCCATGAAAATACATGATGCCTAATTCAGAGAGTATTGTATGCAATTAGTCATAAACAAGTGATCACCATTATTTGTTATGGCCTTTCCACATCAACCATAAAATTCAACATAAGAAATTTTAAAGAGACTTTTGTAAATAATCACATCCCTCAAAACACGCTATTTAGAACTAACCACCTCTTTTATACAAAATCATGAAGTAACACCCCTTAAATTAAAAAGAGTGGGCGATCACCACCCCTGCTCATATTCCGGCCAATTTTATTTTCCGACTTCGGGCCCATTTTTGTATTATACCTTTTTTTTTTTCTCTTCTGTTTTCACGATTTTTTTTGTACCACTGAACATCATCATCATATCATCGCTCATCACCACCGTCCCACCATATTCCTTCCTTATTTTTTTCCATCTCTTGTTGCGTTCAGATCCATCTTAGAAACCCACCATCAAACCGCCACCTTATTCGAAGCTCCACCACTCATCACCACCACCAACCGCAGCAACCCTTGCAATTCCCACCTTCGCTCACGCCAGCAATTCCAACCTGCAAGTCTGCAACACCGTCACACAACTCGCCCGATTCCACCAAACCACACACAACATACCAGAACACTGCACCACATCTTCACCGCCGCTACACCCTCAACCTAAGGTCCACCACCAATATATCAATACCACTTACCCAGACAATGTGGTTTGCTCATTTCGGGTTTTAATCGGGCTTCGTGGGTCAAGTTCAAGAAATCCCCAAAATAATTTTCAAGAACCCTAATTTCCAACACCAGGTCAAATTGAATGTTTCATATAACAATTAAAGCAAAAAATTAGCAATTTAACACATAATTAGCAACAATTAACCTATTAATCGAATTGCCTTTCATTAAATAGCATCAAACAAAGTAAGTTGTTTTTCAATTACCTTAATTTGTCGCTTCAACCTTTTCCGAATTACACTTTTAAGATGAATTATTGACAGGATTTAGAGAATTTGGAGAATTGTGGGTGAATTGGGAGTTTTGTTGAGGAGCACAGCAGTTCAAATTTCAAAATGAAGAGGACTAAAAACGAGTCCAAGGGTTTAAAAAACAAAATAAACTAGCCGTTGGGGGCCTCATGCCGGAAAATTGGCCAGATTCTGAGAAGCGGTGGTGATCATTAACTCTTTAAACTAAAATTTTGGCATTTCATAGAAAAGGGTGGTTAGTTTCTAAATAGTGTGTTTTGAAGTTAGTTATTTACAAAGTTTCTTATTATCTTTATTACTTCTAACAACTTTAGCATCATATATACTTCCTCCGTTTTTTTAATATTGCACCAAGTTTCACATTTATTGCACCATATCCATTTTAGGAAAAGAAATTTATGTGTTCACACTATAAATACCTAATATACCCTTGTTTTTCAACCCTTAATTTTATTTTGTGCATACATTGACATGGGCAACTTGGTATTTCTACCTTTCTCTCTCATCCTTTTTTCCACTACCAAAAAATTTGTGCCAAACCCTTATGGTGCAATAATAAAAGAACGGAGGAAGTACATAGATTGTGTGGCTTAAAATTTAATATCACATGCAAAAAAAAAAAAAAATATATATATATATATATATATATATATATATTTGTACAACCTATTAGAAATAAGTACTAAATGTCTTCCTCTCTGTATCAAACGTTTTAGGTAACACATAATAGCTTTGTGCCATCATTCTAGAAGACCACTAAGTTCTAGTCACTTAATAACATTGTTCATATAATTTAAGGCCAAGACATGCCATACCATTTCAATGGATGATGTGGACCCACATCCATGACATATATGAAACTTGTATGTGATTTGCATTTGGGGGAAAAAAAAAAAAAAAAAAAAAAAAAAAAAAAAAAAAAAAAAAAAAAAAAAAAAAACTTGAAGCCTAGTATCTATCAACTTCTCACTGCCAAAGCTACCAAGTGAGCTTTATAACATAAGAACAACAAGTACAGCATAATTCTTAGAAAAAAAAAAACTATAAATTAAGACAGGAAGTGAAATTTGAAGAAGAAACATTTGGCTTGTGGGTTATCAGTTACCTTTCTTGTGCATTATACGCCTATGTAAATTGTGTGATGATTAATGATTTCTTTCTCTCTTTTTTAAGTTAATCTAACAATTGTGCATCTGATGACTGATGCCGTTAAAAAAAATGGAATTTTCATGTACTCCAACACAATATTAATGGGACTATTATGAAGTTGACTTGGTAGCTTGATGGTAGTTTAAAGATGCGAAGTCAAGTTTAATCTTGTGCTGAGTTTTTCAGATGGCATGTATTGCCCCTCCTGACATTTAAAAATAATAAAATAAAATAAAAAAAGGTATAGATTAAAATATGAGATTAAACTATTTTAACTTGACCAAATTCTTGAATACTTATGTATTCAACCAATTGGCAATGATAAGTATGATGATAAATTAAATTTTAACTAAAGATAGTTGTAACGGAAAATAGGTCACTAATCTCTTCAACAAACCGAATGAAAATTTCAATCTCATATTACTTGCATCATCCTGGGAAATTGTATCTATAACTAGTTCACTACTTCACTTATTAAAAATCCTTACATCATTTGTTTTAGAGTTCATGTCATTTGATACCTTTGAGCATCACTTATTCAAGAGTATAAACATATCTATAAAACCCAGTACATCCATGTAGCCACTACTGTTGAAAATTGAAAAAGAATCATTCATGAAACCATATTTTTGACTAAAATTAGAACTGAATTTTTTTTTTAAAAAAAAAAAAGAGAGAGAGAGAGAGAGAGCACTAAGGGTCTGTTCTGATTGACTGAGCTGAACTGAACAACTGAACTGAATATTTTATGAGAGAAGGAAATTAAGAACTGAACTTATTAGAAATGAACTGAACTGAAAATAATCTTGAAGAGAACAGGCCCTAAGTTTTAGATTTGCCACTAAAAATTCAGCCGCATACTAGACGAGTTTTCTTTTGATCCCAGACTAAATTACAACCTTCCATAATTTGAAAATCCAAGAGCCTAACCTAATTGTAAATGAATATGCTCAGGGCTCTATCTCAGCTTATCAAAGAAAGAAGTGAACCACGCAATTGCATTTTAAGATGAGTGCATGTTATACTTTGCATTTTAAGTTAGGTCAAACAAGAAACAAACTAATGAAATGTAAACAGTTAATAGTGCCAAATTTGTTAATTTACCACCAAGCTCTTAATTTGTGTTTATGAATAAGGTCTAGTATCTTAAACCATTCTATGAATGATTGAGCTAGAGGACCAACTACAGACCAAGTAATAGCCATGTACCCCATATTGAATAAGGTCTAGTATCTTACACCATTCTATAATTCTATGACTGTTTGAGATCAGAGAACCGATAGAGCTGCTAGCAGTACACTGTTAGTCCGTGACCCAGAGCCAAAAGACTTGTGACACCAGGACAGCCAATAGAACTGCTAGCAGTACACTGTTGGAGGATTATAAAGCAATAGTAGTAGTCAAGACAAGCCTAAAATGGTATGCCTAAGACTCTAAGGATCATGGCTACCGAAATTTGGGTGTGAGCAAGGGAATCTGAAATCAGATCAATGCCTTTGAGCTGTGAATTTCATTGGTTTATAATAGAACAAAAACACTTCCATATTATGAAGTAACAATTCAAGAATTAGAAGAGCAACATGGCATAAGAATCACTGAATCATATCAATGTACAAGAGCCACACTGTAGGCAGTAGTTAAACTCTAGAACAGGCTTCCAAAACTTTATATTAGAGCATTTTCTTCAATGAAGAGGTTTGCTTTATCTACTCTAGTTAAACAAACAATATTTTAAGTGTTAAATTAATGTGTTAGGAGCTTAAAGATTATGGACAAGAACACATGAAGAATTACAGCATGCATAAATCACTTGTCACGATTTGGCTCAGCATTGAATCATTATCTACTAGATGTATTCATTGTTTATATGATCTCAAATATTAACATTTATGGTAGCTATTGATTCTTTAAACCCATTTATGATTTAAAAAAAAAATTGATTCATATTTCACATTAATGGTAACGAATGATTCATTCCACACAACAAGTCAACAACAGATAGGAAATCATTTTTTACAATAACTTTAAGATCTTCAATTATCTCAAAATTAAGCGAACTTGGTCTTCCTCCAAAAGGTCACACCACACGATAGCTAAATCGTAAGCGCTGGCACCAGTGCACCACACATTAAGGGCCTATTCTACACAGCCAGACTCTAATTCTCTATATACCACTAAATATTGCGAATACACAAATTGCTAAACTTGTTTTTCAAAAACAAGCAACAAAAATAGCCAAGCAATCAATTTCACTAAAAAGATAACCACATGAAAACAACATTAAAAAGTAATTATCTACACACATAAACAAACGATAATACTTCATATGATTTTTAACGCGACACCGCGATAACCTAGTCACAGAAACTGGACTCTAAATTTCACAGCAAGCCGCAAAATTAGCATTTGCTTCTCACAAACAAGCATCGGAAATGTATCAGATATAGCCAACCAATCAATTTCATTTAAACGAAGAACTTAAAAACAGCATTAAAATAAACCTAAATCCAAACACAAAAATAATCAGCCCTAATTAAACGGTTTCTATTCATTCATTATCTCCTAAAGCTTTCATTCAATGCAACCATCAAAAAATCAAAAACATGACCAAAAAAACAAAAAAAAAACACTCTGAAATCCACAATCAAACAACAAAAATGTCAAGTATAAACTTCAAAGACGAAATTAAATTAAGATTAAACAAAGTTTCCAATAAGCAAGAATTTGAGAAATTACGCTAAGATCAGAACATAAAAATAGCGAAAAAAATCGACAGTTTAGCAGATAAGAAAAGACGAAAGAGCAAAAATTTGGTACAAAAAAATAGAGAAATGAGAGCGTTGTTTGGGGTACCTGTTGAAATTGAACGCCATGAAAGTTGGAGTTGAAGCTCTAGAGTGAGAAAGTGAGTGAGGAGAGAGAAAGTGAGAGGAGATTGAAATGGGGAAAGTTTAACAGAGAGGAAAACGGTAATATCTTTGCCCTTTATTTGGAGAACATTATTTATACACCTGAAAATGGCTAAATGAAGAAACACGACACAATATTTTTGGAGAATTAACAACTAAAAATAAATGCAAGTGCATTGGATATAGGATTATAGTCCGTCATTATATGTTGATAACCAAGTGTTTATTAAGGAAACATAATACGGAGTATTTGAGGTTTTTTAGGAGTCACTCTTGATTACGGAATAGAGTATTTTAGTAGACAATTATTGAATAGGTATCTTTAGGTTTTTTAGGAGTCACTCTTGATTACGGAGTGGAGTATTTTAGTAGACAATTATTGAATAGGTATCTTTTGTTATGTTGATAAAAAATTTTATGGGTAATGTTATATGTAACTCTAAGGGCTATATATAAGCATTGAATACACTCTTGGAAATTGCATAAAATTATAAATTCATGACAAAAACACGCGTAAATCAGTGTAATTAGTGTTTATATTTTTATGATTTCTTAACTTTTTACGATTTTTAAGTGTAAATTTAATGCTTATATGTAGCCCTAAAGGCTATGTATAGCATTTTCCAAATTTTAATGCTCTTATAAGTTAAGTGCATAATTGTTAATACTAATAATCCGGCTTGCTGAGCTCCTTTTAAAGAGAAAAAAAAGAAGTATTTAATTGTTATACCTTTTTTTTATAGGATGTAACTGTTAAACTTATGTTATAAGATAAGAACGTAATAATATATACATGCACAATTGCATGTTCTTACTAAAATGAGAAAATAATATGCTATGTTGTAAATGAATGATGCTATGGAATTTGTATTTGCTTGAAGTTAAAACAATGAAATTTCTTTGTTTTGTCATGTCAATTAAGATCCAATATGTTCTTATAATTTTTATGCTCGTAAATAATTGCATGCATTCATACTCTGAAACTTGCTTCGGTTTGTCAAGATGTGAACACTTAAAAAGGAAAGTATTATGTAAACTACTTGAAAATACACATATTCTCCTAACATAAAATTGAAACTTAATGTGAAGATTGAACTTTTCTACTACTTCCTCCGTTTTCTTTTAGATGCAACACACCCTTTAGCGTGATAATTCAGAAATGTGGGGTTTACATGATATAATAAATTTTAAATAGGATGAGTGGTTGTTAGGAGTGTAATTTAATGGGTCATGTGCTTTAAATAAGGGAAATAGTATAGTTTTTCCTTAAAGTAACTTTTCTTTTATAGTGTGTTGCAAGTATTATGACATTTCCTTTTTAGAAAAGTGTTACAAGTAAAAGAAAACGGATGAAGTATATGTTTTCAAATTCACTTTCTTATTCAATGCATAAACTTATCATCAATCTCCACAATGTCTTATATGGATCAATCCAAGCTTCATTGTCTTCCCCTCATGAACCCTGACCTAAAAATGGATATGGATATTATATTGCAAGAATTACAATTAAATGTTGTAGTGTAGGGGTTTAAATAAGTACAAAACTCACATGTTCAATGTGTATATGAACCAATAAATATTTTCTTGCCTTTATGTTATGAAATATAATCAAACAATGTACACTAATAGTGATCATATCAACCCTTATAGACCAACTAAATTACGTCATCTTTTTAAATGGTAGAACAATTTAAAAGAGAAAATGAATGATGGGTAAGAAATAGATGGAATGGGAGGGGGCGGAGAAAGTGTGTGGAGTTTCATTATATTTTTCCTTTAAATCCTTCCACTTTGGAGGGATATAGAAGGGTTGAACACTTCCCCTCCCTCTCCCTCCCCCTCCCCTCCCCTTCCTTCCGTAAATCCATTATTCACACAAGGTGGTTTGTCCCCCTCTCTTCTTTTCTCTTCATTTCCTTTTATCCAAACAATGTGTGCAAGAGTTAAATCAATATCACATCAAATATGGTGATTATAGTTTCGATCGTAATTAGCCATGAAACCCACTACTAAATCATTTTTTCCAAACAACAAAATAAAGTGAATCAAATACAACAAAATCCTTCTTCACAGCAGGAATTATTAAAATTATCGACGAGGTATTATTCTATATACGCTTAATAGAATTAATGAAGCAAAAAAATTTTTTGTGAAAAACTATCTTTTATATACAACTTTTTGTGAAAAACTACCTTTTAAAAAAAAATTGTTGTAAATGACTACCCTTTTAAAAAAAATGTTGTAAGGGACTACCACTTGCCGGAGTCAGACCGTTGACTCACTTTTCCGGCATTGACTACACCACGTAGTGGCCTTTTCCCTTTTTTGACCACCCCATCCTCTCCTCCTACTCCCTTTTCTAGTTTTTGACCACCGTACCCCTACCCCCTTGCCGTCACCTCCCCTTCCCTTGTCCAATTTAGGCAGTAAGAACATCTCAGTCCCGCCCAAGTATTCCATCCAACGGCGGCAAAACCACCATTTCCGCCTTACTGCAACTCCAATCCAATGGACAAGCTCCCAATTCTTCAATTCGATGGCAAAATCGTTGAAACATTCAAGAACAAACTCGTCATTGTCTTAATTGGAGAATAGAAACTATTTCTGGCAAAAGTACCCAACTTTCCCAAATCCTCTTATGACATGGTTTCGCTGATTCTGGTACAAATTGGTCGCCGTCTCCATCGCACGCCACGTTGCCCAAGAGATGGGGGTCCAAGTTGGGGAAGAAGTTGGCTATGCGATTCAATTCGAAGATCGAGCTTCAACAAAAACCCCCTTGAAAATCAGAACCCTTCCCTTCCTTTTCTCAATTGAGGAAGTTATTGATGTTGCTCTTCGAGGGTCACGAAATTGCGGAGAGGTTGAGGGCTGGTGTTGGATTCGATGGGATGGAGGCAGTTTCAAGTGGGGTTGGGTTGGTTTTGGATGCGTGAGGGACTGAGGGTGGTTGTAATGGAGTTTTGAGGTGGGTTGAGGTGTTGCGGTGGTGAAAATAAGGACAATGCTGGTGGTGCATTCATAGAAAAAAAGAAAAAAAAAATTTAAAGGTCATGTGACCGACACATGGGTGGTCAACGCCGGAAAAGTGAGTCAACGGCCAGATTCCGGCAAGTGGTAGTCCCTTACAACATTTTTTTAAATGAGGTAGACATTTACAACATTTTTTTTTAAAAGGTAGTTTTTAACAAAAAGTTGTATATAAAAGGTAGTTTTTCACAAAAAATCCTAAAATATTTCCTTCAACTATTGGAGTAAAATGTTAAGTGAAAAAACTAGTCCCAAGTCTGTTGGTTTTTTGCTTCTGCACCCCCTTGATGATGATTGATGGATAAAATAAAGAAAAAATTGCTAAAAATAATACAACCTTTAGCCCATTCTTTTTTAATAATACAATCTTTAGATTATTTTGTAATAATACAATCTTTAGGGGGTGTTCATTTTAAACAAGATAAAATCAAATTTTCGATGGACTTTGAGGTTAGGAAAGAGGAAGAACGAGTTTTTGGTGGTGGAGATGAGGAATGATGGAATATCCCCTCCCCTTCTCCCACCTCAAAACTCACCGAAAATTCGATTTTATCTTTTAAAATGAACACCCCCTAAAGGTTGTACTATTACAAAATAATCAAAATGTTGTATTATTAAAAAAGAATGGGATAAAGGTTGTATTATTTTTAGTAATTTTTCCTAAAATAAAGAGTTATTTATAATTTAATAACTAATTGACGATTAATAAGCATCAATAATTAATAGTTCGCAATTAAGAATTAACTATGGTACCTCCATTTCGTTTTGTTCTTTACCTTTTTTTTTTTTCTTGTACTTTACACTTCTATTTTAATTTCTTTTTTTTATATATTCTCTATTGTCACACATAACCACCCGACTTATTGAGTCACTTGTCACAGTTTATATATGTCACCTGTTGCATCTCTCCCTCCCCCCCCCCCCCTCCCCCCTCTAATTTTAATACAAAAACGATAAATAGTGAACATAAATAATGATAGTAAGCATTCCATCCGTTCTACAATATTTGGCCTATGTATATTGTTGTATTCGTCTCAATTCTTATTTGTATATTGGTATATAAGTTAACACCCTTATGACATATTGGTATATAAATTATTGCCGGCGACATATTGGTATAAAAATTAACATGTGCGCGACATATTGGTATATAAATTAACAAATTGTGACATCTACCCCCTATTTTTTCTTCGGATGAAAGAGCGTGTTGTATACTTCAAAAAATTGTTTTAATTACTTTTGCAATCTTATTTATTATCATAATATACTTATTCAGCACCAAATAATAATTTTTCCCTCTTCCCTTCCAATACAATAACTTTGATAAATCAATCAAACGATAAAACCCCAAAGAACTAATAAACAATAAACAAAATCTCAATATTAGTTATTTAATTTCAAAACCAATTACTAGTAGACGCTAACTTTCATTATTACTTCATTTGTATTATACCCACAACTTTGTAAATCAACAATATAATAAGAAAAAATATATATATGAGTGTTTTTTTTTTAAAAAAAAAAAAAAAAAAAAATCTACCCTTGTGATGTTTCAATGACCAACGCCCTCAATACATTCAAGCTTATATCCCTTTGCTCAAGCTTTCCTATTCATTCGTTTTCCCCTAGCTTCTTTCTCATCACTTTTGGGCTTTCAACCTTTTTTTTTTTTTTTTGGATTTTTACTTCATAATTTTTTTAAATTAATATAAAAAGTAGAGAAAGGTACAAAAATCAAAATGTCAAATAAAAGTTATTAGCACTGAAATTAAGTGCGTGTATCATACGCATATCCTCCGACGAGAAAATAGGGGTAAATGTCGCAATTTGTTGACTTATATACCAATATGTCGCCACATGTTAATTTTTATTCCAATATGTCGCCGACAATAACTTTTATACCAATCTGTCATAAGGGTGTTAACTTTTATACCAATATGGTCAATTAGCCAGTATCTAATTATGTAATTTATTTTTTGTGGAATCTTGTTAAATTCATCTCGGTATTTATATTCTAAATATGTAATTTTTTATAGATTTTTTTTTTTTTTGCTTTACGTGTATTGATATATTTTTAATTATAATTTTGCATGATAATTGTGCAAAAATAGATAGGATATTTTTTTTTTAAAATTAGAGAGTACACTTTGTAATTGATAAGTAATAGTATTAGCCATGTCTCCTTCACCGTATTTATAAAATTTATTTTACTCAATAAAACTTATTTTTACTAATTCTCTATTATAAAAGTATTGAATTTTAGTGATTTAAACATATTTTGAATAAGATGAAGATAAGGATTGACTATGATATCATATCCTAATAATTAACTCTTTGATTCTTTCCATGTTTATTATTGTGTATAATTAATCTTCATATTGCTGTCCCTTAATTTATTCCTCCCTAATCATGGCCTTGTAAAGTTGTAATCACTAGTCAGTTGTCAGTCCATGCCACCTTTTTTAGTTGCACATTACTAGGCTCCTAGCACTGTTATAACTTATTTACAATAGAAAGTAAGTATAAACATTTAATAGTTAAATACCAACAATAATTCAAACTAATCAACCAATTGAAACAGCCATCAGTCAATTGTCAAACAACATACTTGTATTTTGTATATAGAGACGTAAGAGTACACTGAGTACATATCAATAATTCATCAGACATTTATTTAACTGAATTGAACCGACTGGCTATGTGTCACAGTCCGGGAGTTTGGACCCCGAAACGTGCGGCGCGCTCTAGCCTTTTGACGGCAAGAACGCTAGCCTTGAGCGGAAGAGGGGCTTGTGAGCACAAAGCAACATAAGCGGGCAATCAAATCAAAGGAGCACTCGCGTCTATTTGGGCGACGGAGTGCGAGTGGTCGGGGCTTGTGACGGCCGATACTTCAAGGCGGGCACAAGCGGGTCCGAACCACGAGTTCTTAATGCGTCAAGTTGGTTTGGAGGGGAGCTATTATGCAAGTAAGACACAATATCTATAAAGGTCTAACAACAAACAAGCATAAAAGCAAAGCAACACTTGGTAGAAGGCTTAAGATTTCACTAATCATTTACCCTCTAAAGAGCTTTAAATGACATACAAGGAGAATGTCTAGTGAACACTGATCTGACAGTAACACAATAATGGAACCTCAAGCTAAGAAAGCATAAACTAAACTCTAGGAAAACAACCAAAGGAGTTGGATTCTAACACTATGCCATAAGCCCAAACATCTATAATCGTAGTAACCCAATCTCCCTCATCTATAATCACAATTACACAATAAAATAACAACAAAACAACATACAAATTACTAAATTATGCAAGTGTCAAATTACACTACCCATCACCTTTCCTTAATAGCTATTACCCATCAAACAAAACACACACATTCCCCAAATTAGTAAAATATTATTAACACCCACAACATAATTAGCATGACAATTGCCATCACTTATCCTTGACTAATCACATGTGTCATGTTTTACATGAGCCTTCTTGCATGCTTACTCTATAAATAAATAATTCTCCCTTTTTATTTATTTTTCCTTTCTATTTTTATTTTCTTCCTCACAAAATTCACACTCTTCTGCTGGTTTTCATCCTCCATTTCTGAATTTCAGGTCATTTTCTCTCTTCTCCTCTCTCATTTTCGCTAATAATCTAGCTGCATTTTAGTAATTTTAGTATTTTTGTTTTAATGATTGAATTTATTTCTTTTTACAGTAAATTTCCCACTTAGATTTCAACTAATTGAGCTCAAAATGTTGGATATTGTAGCAATTGGAGTAACCCCATTTTGTAGGATTGTGATTTTATGCTGTTATTATTGTGTAATTAAACTGCAAAAGCTCCCTTTACATCTGGGTATAGAACCCAGAAAATAGCTATTTTGTTGAAATTATTTTAATAAATATGTATATATCTTGCTGATTCTCTAGAATTTGTCTGATTACTTTCCAATTTTTCTTTATGATTTTTTTTTTCTTTCTATTTTTGGGTATTTTGATACTGCAACTTAGTAAAATGTGCTATTATTTCTTAATACCAGATACTTGCTTAAATAAAAACGGAGTACTATTTAGAATGTTGTAGATTTGTATGATTTAGAATCTAGTCCTTTCAACTTAATCTATTGATTTTCAGCAGCTGGTTAGATAATTTACAGAGCTAAATAGCAAATGTAGTAACAAAATACACCCTCTAGTAGTTGTTGGGTGCACCTAGCTCGAGATACACTCTCTAGTAGTTGTTGGGTGCACCTAGCTCGAGGTACACTCGGGTGCATAATAGAGTTTCTATGTACGTGTAGGTACAAATTGCTAGAAGTGAACTTGGTCATAACATTGCAATATAGTGTTAATGTATAGTATAGCCCATAATTGAAATATTGTTATCTGATAATTATATTATCAGTAAGTTGGAATGAATGATATGCTTCGCCCTGTCATTACTGATCGGATTCTATGTTAGTATGTTGTTTTTGTTGTAATCAATCTCCTAAGAGCAATACTGTATGGTGTGCTTAGTTCAAACGTAATTTGTTATTGATTAGACTTGAAATTGGTATTGATAATCCAGGTATCAGCAACGTGATAATCAAGATGAATGCAAATGAGGATTGTTGCTTTCTCCTTTACTTCATCATGGGCACATATTTCGGCCCTGATCTCAAAGGGGAGAAGACCCAAAAATCTGCGTTACAGAGGATAGCAGAAGATCTTCCTCCTTACACACTGAATCAGTTGGCAGATTCCCACATCAGAACCTCTGAAATCGAGCAAATTTACTATTATCTTGTAAGGAAAGCAGATAGGTCACTCATCGTCAAACTACCTGTGTTGTTACAGTTCATTCAAGGAAATCATCCTTCCGAGGGTGAAGACTTCCTTACACTCTTTCCTTCTCATTTGCACCCTCAAACAGAGTCACTTAACCATAGCAGAATTGTAGCAAGTGTTGCATTTATTCGAAATCCAGCTATCTTTTATATCAAACAGGAGGATATTGAGAGGTTCAAGAAGCTGACAGGACTAGAAGAGCTCTTCATAGAAAACACTGTTGTAAGGCTGCCGAATGGTATATATCTGGAGAAGGGCGATGATGATGACTCTGAAGAGGAGCCCATCGGAAGTTACTTTCGTGAGTGTAAAAGCCCTAAAAGGAAACGTCGATTAGAGGAAATTTTGGAAACTGAGAATCTGAAGTCACCACAGTCACTTCAATTGGCTTTGCCACCATCTGGAGTGAGAGATGGGCCTGGTATTGTTATTCTCCCTTCCCAGCCAAGTCGAGAGGAACTGCGTCGCATTGTGGAGATAGCAAGAAACTCATATGCAGTGACTGGAAGTGCAGCAAAGGGTCAGGTGGGATCTGTTATCGGACTGATGGACATTAGTGAATCTGAGGATTCATACCTATTCCGTGTTGCCCTTCCTGGAGTTAAAAGAGAAAACAGTAAGTATTAGCTGTACACATGATCTTTAATTTACATAATTGTGTGCCTCTACACAACTTCTCAAATTTTCATTGCAGCTGATTATTCATACAGGTGGTTGGTTTGTTTGGTCAATATTGACTTAATCAGGTTGTTTTTTATCTTAATCCCAGAACTTCTGTCTGAAAAAAATCAGTTGGCAAATTTTAGATGATACAAGTTGGACTAATTTTGATTCCAGGTTGAAAACAAAATCTTTTTCGGGTTGATTCTGGTTGTCTTAAGGTTAATTGCAGTAGCTAGTCCATACTCCATACTCTGCATTTTGACATATGCCAATACTGCTTTAAATTGTTTTTGTGCTTAAATTTGCTCCTTGATCATGTATATGCAGGAGCATTCCAATGTGAGGTAGATAGCGATGGCAGGGTGGTGATAAAGGGAGAAACAATCACAGGCGAGAAGAGAGTTTACCGCTTTTCACAAACATTCATCATGCAAACACAAAACTTGTGTCCAACAGGACCCTTTTCTGTCTCATTTCAGCTGCCAGGTCCAGTTGATCCCCAAAGATTCAAGGGCAGTTTTGGTTCTGATGCTATCCTCGAGGGTGTTGTGATGAAGCAGATGCCTTCAACAAGATTAATCAAATTTGGCGGTGAGCAGTAAAATCTGTAAAAATGTCGCATTGCTAGATATTCCCAGTAAGCAATGTATGACTAGTAAGCCATCGTAAATTCCTAGCTGATAGACATCCTGACTTGTGTAAATTATCGCAGCTGCTAGCTAATTTTCGAATGACCCGAATGTAACAAGACTGTCAACCTCAAGTAATATGACTTCACTAGTAGCTAATTTCCGTAAGACCAAAATGTATCTAGACTGTTAACCTTGAGTACTATGACTTCACCTATTCCGGTGAATCGGTAATATTAAAAAATAGTGAAATTTTAATTTTGCTTGTATTCTTCTATCAGCAGTTCCACAAAACTAGACCTAGCAAAACCAACCCTGTCTCAGATCACCCAACCCACCCTTGAAGTAAAACAGAAATCACAAGTATTAACCCAATTCACTCAAAACTATACTAAGACTAAATTGAACTGACACCTGCAGTCCTGCTCGAATAATACATGAACCAATGACACCTCAAATGATACGAAGTACAGCTAGAGAGTGAGGGAGATTGATATCAGAAACAGAGGGTACCTAAGTAGCTAGTTAATACTAAAATACCAGCCCACATATTTTACTTGAAGAGTAACCCATTTCCTACATACACCCCCCGAGCATACGAGGACTAAGTCAGCTTGAGGCACCAGAGAGCAACCAAATCACCAAACAGTCAATAACTAAACTGTAAAGATAAGTCATGCATTCAACCTTCCAAAAGGCTACAATGGCAGAGTATAGAAAACTCAAAACAGAACTGTCCTACTTATGCATTCTAATTCGGTAAAGAAGACCAACTAATCTCTAGTAGCAGAGCTATTGATGACAGCCATTTAATCAAGTACCACACAGTAACAACTGAGGTTAAACCGTTAAAACAGACTACACAAGGTAACAAAACACATGTTCTACCAAAGATAAAGATACTCTGATTACAGAAAACCAAAATGTCCCTCTATCCCCAGCTTGCATTCAGCACCCGCGTCCTCATTCCCATCTGCTAAGAACCAGTAAGAAGAATTGTCTAGTTAGAATTTCACAAATTTGAGAGAAAAATCAATAAAATTAGCCAAATTTTACAAGTAATAACATAGTGAAAGATACTTCAAGCCTTCAACTGGGCCAGGGAAAGGAATGTGAGAGGGAGAAGGAAAAAGAGGGCGGGGAGATTTGTATCACTTCAGCCAAGCTAGGCGTGGAGGAAAAAAAAATTGGCTCTTATTGCAAACAAATTTAAATAACTTTAGGGTAAAAAGGTATACAATAAGACACCACTGACTTGTTACAAGACAAGGGGTGACTTCTGCTTCTAAAAAGAGAAACATCTAAAATTACAAATGAAGATGCCTAGTTAGTGAGTTGGACAGCTACAGAAAAAAAAGAAAAAAGAAAAAGTCACCTTCGAGTCGGATCTCCAAACACAAATCCACACCCCAATAATGAAGGATAACTTTTAAATTGCAAACTTGCAGTCAAAAGGCAACTCTTAAACAGTTTTCACAGCACAGCCCTTTGACCACCAATCATCAGTGCCATTAACAAAATGACCAATTTTAAGTGTCAATTTTTGAACATCATTCTTAGTCATTTGCATGCAGATAAACTCATAAACAACATTTCATAAATTTCTACAGTTGAAGGTTTTCAATCAAAGATCCTGAGACAATAAGTAAATGACATTCCCAACTTGATGGTGAACGTTGTGAACACAGAATGAACCTTTTAAATTTCTTCCATCTTTCAGTCGTCAAGCATCCAGCTATGTGCAAGTCAACAGTTGGACAATTGCTATTGAATTAGGAAAAACCACAGGGTACACCTACCTTTACATTTAAGGATGCTAAGCATCAGAAGAAGATTGCTGTCGCTGAGGTGGTTGCTGAGGCCACATTGGCTGACCCATGTATGGCTGAGACTGTGCGGCATATGCATTAGGATTTCCCATCATCACACCTGGAGGTCCAGCCTGAGCTGGGTTTTGTGCCGGCGGCATAAAGTAGTAGGGAAGTGCATCTGTAGGGCCAGCAACAGGCATGCCTGTTCCTCTTGGGAGAGTGGCAAGCACATCATCCTTCAAATCCTCCCTTGGCACAATGTCCACCAAGAAGTCAAAGATGTCAGTTCTTGTGATCGCTGCTGCAATGTCATTCTTCTGCAAGGTCCTCCTCTTGTTCTCCTCAGTGTGGTTCCATGATCGCAGGGTCAGCTCAAGTATAAACATCTCACACGCCCGTGCAAACACAACAGGAGCCTCAGCTGAGATCATCCGGACATCCTCATCAGCCTTCATGATCTTCTTGATCCTTGCCAGGGGAAGGCTGTGGTTCTTAAAATCTGTGACCTTCTCAATATCCTGGTACTGATTCTGCCAGAAGGACTGAAGTTGTTGTTGTAGCTGCTGCTGCTGCTGGTGATGGATCTGCTGGTAAGCAAGCTGGTGCTGAGCCATCTGTGCCCCAGAGGGTTGTGCAGAACCATGAACAGGTGCCCCAGTAACTTGATTTGGTTGGTATGCACCAACATATGGAACCTGACCAGCACCACTCACTGTTCCTACTACTGGAGCTTGACCATGCCCTTGCTGGTCCATTCTGGAATAATACAAAGAAACAAATATCATTTAATTTAAACTTTATTCCAAATCATATTAGGTATTTGTAAACTAAGATTATAGAGTTCCCAAAAAAAAAAAAAAAAAAAAAAAAAAAAAAAAAAAAAAAAAAAAAAACGGGATCCAGAATAACTGATCAAAATTTCCCAGCAATACTATGGTAAATTTTACATTTGTAATCAACAGGTCGGCTTCACATAGTTTGATGATAAATCACCCGATTTTTTTGCAGACACTATCCATAAAATTCGGATTGATTTTAATTCAAAATCTCTCAATGTATTTAGGTATTTGTAAACATAGCATATACAGGTATATCTCTATAATTCAAAGCTGAATCACAAAATTCCAATGATAGCATCATAAATGAAAAATGCCAATAAAAATTAATTTCCATGTCCTTGTGTAATCCATCAAATTTTATCCCAACAAGTGTCAGCATAGCAAATCAAGGAACAAAGGATCTTCATAAAGAATTATAGAAATGTGATCAACGCATTCAAGATGAAGAGATTTAAAATTCAAATAGCTGAACAAACTGGACATGTGATTGCATCATGGTGAATTACCAAAAAGATAACATTGCAAATTCAATTCAAACAAAACAAAGAATGATAACACAACACAATTAAGCAGATAAACAAGAAATGAGACAACACACCTAGGCAATATGTAAGCAAACTTTTAAACAGAACTCATGAAAGCTAAATCTCTCTACAAAACTGTGGCTGCAAAATGCATAAAATAACACAAACCCTACGAAAGACAGTGAATGATCGATCAAAATGCCAGCTAGTTGGTGGGAAAATGGGTTCGGTCCAAATTCTATGTTTCTACTCTCACGGCCCAGAAAACAAGCCTACATCGGCCCATACGGTGAACCTTAATAAAAACAAGTCATAAAATAGGGAAGTATAATTAAAACTACCCCGTAATATAATTGAATTTCCGTCAAACAATAACTTAATAAAGAATAAAGATAATGTACTATAAATAATATATCTGTGAAAGTATAATCTAAAGCTTGAGCCATAGATAGGTTGCCTAACAAGCAAACCAGGGGTAATGAACAATAGGAAAGATACATTTATGATTTGAATTGAACAAACCACCTCCTCCAGCATTCCCTTTACCAATGAGTCCACAATGCTATATAATTAGTATTCTTGGTGTTTCCAGGTTGAAGCCATAGTAAGTTTAGAACCCACCAAACCTCTTTCATTGCCTTGAACTAGAGGCAACTATAATCAAGTAACATCCCAATCCAGAAACTGGAGTAATGCAGTATTAATAGCAATTAAACTAAATGAGAAGGTTCACTAAAGCATAAGTCATATGACAATCCACCAGCATATCCAAGTTAACTTACCAGGTTTCTAGCTCTAATTACATTCATGGGCTGTTACACTTTCTACAAGACATATACTTAAAGTCCCTCCTAACTATCAAATATAGTAGTCTAACAATCTTACCACCCACTCAAATGTCTCACATCTTTTAAGAGACAATTAAGATACACTGTTGAGAAAGTTTGCTGTCTGGTGGTGGTTGTATTGTTGAAGAAAAGGAAAAATTTACTATCGCAATATTGCAATAAAGAGCAACACATTCAGATCGGCCTTAGATTTTATTCAGGCTTTTGGGAATCAGACATCTGTCGCTCTTTCTAGGAATAATGCTTATTAAGTTTTCTAAAAGGAAAATCTTCATAAAAGCGCCAATTTACTCAAATACTCCAAAGTAAAAATGATATTCACTACATGTCATTTAATTAATTCACATTCTGGTATCCATAAATATCAAGTAATTAAGTTACTCCAAAATCAACAAGATCTAGTATCTTGAAAATAGGCATAAATACAAATAACTCATTAACAAGTTACACCACAGCTACATCCCATAGAAAACAATAGAGCCATGTGGCAAAGAACGTGTACCATGTATGGCTCCCCTACTCCCAACCCCTACATATGGTTAAAGAGCAACTAAAATTGCTGCCAACAGTCCCAGGATATCATGGAGAAGCACCAAGGTAGATTCATCTTAATCCAATTGTCCCTTTTAGTTCATTAAAATATCTAAAAAACTGGAACTACAACCTCGAAGATCCAGTAAACCAATATCATCAAGGGCACTATTTCATACTGTCATATTTTCCTTCTGTCCACAAATCTTAATTATTTCTCCTTTCTATTTGTTTAATGGACTGCATCATTATCCTTTCAGAAAGAATTGTCATGAAGACACTAGGCAAATCTGAGATTAACAGTATAAAATCAATGTATAACAGTCAAGGCTCCACAAGGTACTTCAACTGGAAATTTTCAAAAATGATCAAAAAAGAAGCTTCTTCAGCAAACAAATCCAATTGCATGCTTCACCCTTCAACTCTTCAAGGAACCCTCAATCTACTGATTTACATTCTCAAATACGATCTTAAAATGGATAAAATACTGGAATCCTGGTTAAATGACTATGAGCAAATCCATGGACGACAATCCAAATGCATTCTCATGAGGCCAGGATGACGTACACATACATCTAAGCAAAGTGGGCACTTGGCTCAAAAGAAAACAAACAAAATAACCAACATGGAAAACATAGATTGATAAATAACTTTGTAGAGTTTAAGATCAAATATTGCCCAAAGGTACTTATCTAAAACATATTTTTAGAACCTCAAATGTCCAAGAGATCAAATTATTCACAACAATGTTGTGCAATACCCTCTTTTCTCTTTTTCGCCCAAGGGAAAAATTACTGCTTCAACAACCTTAATTAAAGCTGTACTAAACTTGATAGTTACAGCAAAACTAATTAGACACTCATCCAACTTATAGCTAAGTTATTTTTTTCTATAAACTGCTATGAACCCACTTCAGTTCTGTCTCTCAACATCCCAAAATGCATTTCAATTACTCGTGCTCAAAGATGCCTCACTTTTCGTCATACAACTATGGTGTACTTTGTGACTTCCCCAACTATACATAAATGTAGTCATCACTCCCCCCAAAACAGTCAGCCGACCCTACTTATGGGATTAAGGCTTAGATTGATTGATGTACCTTAACTTTTCTTACAAACATCAAGGTTTTTTTAAGAAAATATATCCAGGTCTCATATTTTTCTATTTA